ATGTAAATTTCACCCAAAAATTGAGAGATTTCACTGATGAGTACGTGATTGCCTGTATGTGGCCGAAAATTAACTTTTCCCATAAGTTTTCACCCTCATTCCTCTTCTCATTCGCATTTAAAGTGCTCAAACACTCAGTGAATGTTAGAAAATTCACTCACGATCATTTAAATTTTCTAATTAATATGATGCTCTTGCTTTCTACTGCTTCACTTGCGAGCTTCTCTTGTTGTTTCACCTTTTTTACTATACTTATCAATTAAAAATGAATCACTCTCGACTGTTAAACTCTTCATGGTCAGCGATGTCGTCCTAGAAAATCCCTGAATTGGAGAGTTTTTCATCTCATTTTATACATTTTTTCAACTGAATAAATACTTGACGACACTCTGACACGAGACTTTCAATTTTTCACGCTCGAAATGCCATCAAAGAGAGTCGGACAGAAAAAATTCCAGGTCGGATTAAGATGAGTTAAAAGGGTTGTAATTGTAAATAATTTCAGGGAAAATTTACATTAAAACACACCCACATTATACTCATAGATGACTCATAGAATTTTCCCAGGCAAAATATTCACTCGTGACTTTTATGGCTGAATTTATTCTTTCCAAAGGAGACATAAAGTTGTGTATTTTTTCTACAAACTGCTTTTTGCTGATTTTTACGCTCCAAGTTCTGTTTTCTTGTCAGCAAATTGCTTTCCAACATGAAGTGTTCGTGAAAACCAGTGACACAAGAGTTAGTAAATGGTATTTACTCCAAAGAATTAAAATGTTTTGCTGTGAAAAAAAAGTGCTTTTAGAGTATCCAAGATTTACTTAAAAATACTTGTGAAAAGAGTTTTAAATAACTGTTTTGGCGCTACGCCACTGGCAAAAGTCTTTAAAGCGACAAACGAGAAGCTTTTGGGCGATCCTTCACCCCGTAAAAATTCAACACGCGCCAGATGAAAACATTCAGAACTGCTTCCAGTTTATATATAGCTTTAGATTTATCTCGGCATTTATTGCCTTGAAGTCTTTGCCCCTAAACTTGTCCACGTGCGGCTCCGCGGAGGAAATTCTTGTATAATATAATAGCAGATTTTCACTAATTATTCTCAACATACTTGCTAACGATTTCCCAAGGAGGGGTGTTTATTCTGAGAGATTATCGCATTGTGCCAATTGCGTGGAAGCAAAGTGATTTTCATGAAATAATCCACACACTGTGTCACACTCTTCTTTCCTCACAAGTGGATTTTCCCACCAATTTCCCGCCAAATTCCTCATCGTCGACGGAGTGAGGAAATTGCCTCCCATTTCAGAGAGATTTGGCGATAGCATAGGGGATGTATTTTGCCTTTTATACTTCCATCCCCGCGTGGAATAAGTCATGAAAGTTGTGAGAAATTTTTATTGATGCTGCGGCAAAAGAAAGATATCTTGGGCTGATGTGTGAAATCCGTATCAGAGTTGAGAAGGTGTTGCAGATAAGGGAGAAAATTGCCACTCTCACTCATTGTCTATGGCAATTTCAGCTCTAATTAAAATTAATAGGTCCATTTCCACGATCCGAAGAGGCCTAAAAGTGGGGGAGAGAAATAGTGAAAGGCATGACAAAATAGATTCGTGGAATGGCCGAAAAACAGCCAGCTCGCACTTTTTCACTGAGTCTCATCGACTCAGCAATTTCTCCAGTGAGTCTCTGTGACAGGAAATTCTTATCAAGTCTCTCACCTCTTCAATCGCGACAAGTGTGCGTGAAAGGGGCGGAAAATCAGGCAACGCGGAAAGCACGAAGGTGGAAAAACAGAGTCATGATAATAGAAGTTAATCGAGTTCGTGTGTTTTTGGCAAAGTGTGCTTAACTTCCAGAAAGCACATCCTCAGTGCGCGTTATATTTACAAGATAAGCGATTGGTGATCGCTATCGTTTACATATTAATGGTGCACAATTATCGCTCAATCCGCGAGTTCGCGAAAAGCCCCACTAAAGTGCCACAGTTGCCATGTGATATTGGCAGAGGGTGGAATTTTCACATGTTTCGCAAAGGATTATAATTGTTTGCAACAGTATATCGGCCACATATTCGCTTAGAGAGGCGCACTAATACGGAAAACTGTGAATAGTGTGTTTAATCAATGTGACTTCACATCACGTAATAGTCTATGGAATTCAATATTGAATCCATCGTGAGCAGAGGAACCTTCTGTCCATGGAGTTTCTTATCATTTATTGACATGGACGGACGAAAGAATAAATTGTTCTGTTCAGTTTAACAGCTGCAATATTGGGTGTTTTTTACGTAACTCGTCAGACGTTGAGAAAATTGACTCAAGTTGTGTCAGTCTTGCTGAACAGTCGGAAATTAAGTGACTTTTTCTCATTCTCCCCCTCTCCTTCGTCCTGACAGGAATATTGCATAAATTGATAAAAGTGCAAAGTGGAATTTCTCATGAGTGCTCGAGCGTGGAGAAAGCAACATCTAGCGCTGACATTGCCCTTCAAGCCCATACAATTGAAATTGATTTTGTCGTCGGGACGTTTTTTGTCGCCTCATCCCACATACTGTGAGGAAAAAGTTCAATTACAACGTGTTAAAGTGTCACACAGGATCAGCGGCTGACATTACATTGCGCTTCAAGAAAACGTGACTATCATTTCGCGAAAAACGAAAATACGATGGAGCATTTTGCGGCTCATCCCAGTGGACTTTCGCGCTCCAACTCAATGCGCGCCTCCTTTCGGCTCCTCGGCTCTCGCTTGAGGTCATCATCGTTGTCGAGTGGCAGGAAAATGTCCTCTTCCGACGAGAGAGCTCTTCTAATTGAGCAGTGTGCTAAAAAGTGGGCTGAGAATGCCCAAAAGAAGGTGAATCCCACAAAGGAGAACATCCCGACTAACAATTGTGACCATGAGTCACGCGAAATGGCGCCGAAATCGAAGAAAAGGGGAGCCTTCAGGATACTCAAGAGATCTATCTCGCTTAAGGGTGGTCTCGCTGAGAGTTCCAAGGAGAAGCAGTCGACGCCAAGAATTGCCACAATCAGAAGAGCATCAATTTGGGCCAACAGTGTCACGAGTAAGAATATAAGACGGATTTGGATTCGTTCACTGTTTTATTTATTTAATACTTCACCTACCAGAGTTCGTACGGTAGAACACATACAGGATTTCTGAACATAAAATTCGATTAAAGTGATTTTGCATTGAATATATATATTGTATGCTGAGGAAAGCTCACATTTTGGGGCGAATCAAAGTTTTGTTGTTTGGAAAAGTCGTTGTCGAATTGTCGGATCAGAGATATCTAGTGTTAATTCTCTGATTTCACCATGTAATTCTTGAGGACTTCACGTTCACGGAAAATCCCCAAGAAAGTTCAAATCAAACCTTGTGAAAGTTCGCCTGTGTACACAATTAGGTTGTTGAGAATGCCTCTAATTGCACATTGGATGTTGTCTCGAGCTAAATAAGATAGTAGTGAATTATCTGAATACTCATTATTCCCCAACCCCTGAAGGAAAATCAAGCGAACCAACCCTTGTCTGACAATGATGGACTTTCTTCACTCAAACAATCATTATTTCCACGATTTTCTCATTATGTTGCAACTTTCTTGGTCATTCTCTTGTCTTAATTTCTCCTGGGGACACCAAAGCAATATAGTCACCCCCACCTCCGCAGGCAATTTGTCCGATAGTCACGAAAATGTGTCCATAACGAATTTATCGCCTTTCACAGATGGAATCTCACATTCATGGACACCATTTGCCTTGGTGTCTGTCCGAGGGTTGTGTTAAATTTAAAAAGCACCTAAAAGCTTTGAGCCATTTTCGTAAGTACGCATAGTGTTTCTTCTATGCTATTTCGCCATCCCTAAAGAAAGCTTCTTATCAGACTCATCGTCGTGGAAAAAAATCATTCTCACATGCTAACGAAAGTTTCACTGCTCGGAAATTGTAACAAATATTCTCAGGACATGGGCGAAAGTTTCAAGGATGCCTCGTTTAATTTAATGAGCTCTGAATAACAAATTAACATTTAATGGATGTTGCAAAAATGCAACTATAATTATAGAATCCTGATAAGTTAATGCATATCTAACAAATAACAACGTTAGGAGATAAATACTATTAATAGTTTTTAATTCTATTTATCGTTGTGGGGAAAAGTCGCGCCATAGAACATGAATGGAGAGAAAAAATGTATCAAAAGCCACCCAACAAATTTTCAAACAACTTTCCCACTGCCAGCATTATAGCAAAGTTCAATTATATCGTTAATTTCATTTTCATATTTGTGTTCAACGAAAAAAGAACACCTACGTACATAATATTGTATGAAAACAAGGTGTCTTTAGCATATTTATACAGTCACATCGATCAATAAACATAAAACTCATTTTAAACTTTTTATATTGGATTTCCCACCTCATCGGAGAGGCTTTTTCCGTCTTTCTGGCAAAGAGGAAGAAAGTTCCAAAAATATGCCGAGGATGGAGGAAATAAACTTGAATTTCGAAAGTTATGTAATTCCGACTTATCTTGGTGGTTTCGTTCAGAATACATTTCATCGGTGATACTGTGATTACAGAGGGATAATCTTGAGATGGAGAGAGAGAGAGAGAGAGAGGCCTTATGTGCCTTAATTAAATTAAAAGGAAACAATCATTTTGAGAGATTTTCGCGCATTTACGAGCGAGTGTCACCTAAAAAGCGGTTTTTTAGGTGGTGCAAATTCAGCCCTCAACAATGGATCCACTATCGCTAATGACGAATTTAAGTGCACAAACTGTCTCGTCCTCCAAAAAATCCATTCAAAGGCGCGCAAGAAGCTCGCAAGCGACACAGTCGACAGCTAAACGTGAAAATAGGGTTTCGTGCACGCCAAATTTAGGTGACTAGAGAAACTCACAAGAATCCCTTAACCCAATTTGATATTCCTTTTATGTTTTCGTTTGCTTCTTTTCTGTTATGCGCTTTCTTTTGTCCTCCTTTTCCTTGACATACAAGAACTCACCCTCCCGGAGCGGAGTTTGACGGCCGGACAATGCCCACCAACATCTCCGATTCCCTCTACACGGTCGGAGCCCGCCAAGAGTCCCCAGAATCTCCTGCCATCCAATAATTTCCCGTGCGAGAAGCGCCAGCCGAACGGCCAGATGGAGTTCCTTATTCCCCACCCACCGACGAACTCGCAGCCACGACAGATGGCATCATCGCAGAATGGGACCTTCGTCAGGTCGCACAGCATCAACGAGCAGAGCCATCACCAGCTCCTGCAGCAGCAGCACCAGCAGCAGAGCCAATTTGCACAGCATCACGCCAAAATGACGAAGAAGCAATTGAAGGTGGCGCAAGCACAGTTGAATAAGTTGACCCAGATAAATATTCATCTGCACGGTAAGGAGCGAACTTTGAGTGAATCTTTTGAGCATCAGGATGCATTAGGATGAATTTTGTTCCAAAGGGAATTTGTATACCCTGCTAAAGTATCCACTTTGCTTGTAATCACACTCCATCATACTGAGCGGATTTTTTCCGCCAGACAGGGAAAATCTTCTATATTTTCTACCCCATTTGCGCACACACACATATATCCTCTTGTCTTGGGCTTATCTTCGCACGACAATTCAAGAGACGATATAATCCTCTTGAGAAAATATCTCTTATTCCTTGAGCAATGATTATATCTCATATCTGTATTGCCACAGCTCTATTCTCAGCCGTGGAGCATGGGCACTTGGAGAAGGCAAGAACAATCCTGGAATCCACAGATGTTGATGTTAACAGCGTTAACAGTGATGGATTGGCACCTTTGGACGTGGCCGTGTTGAGCAATAATCGCTCAATGACAAAGATGCTCCTTCAGCACGGCGCCACAGACAGGACACAGTGTGAGTATGCCAGCCTTTTTCTCTGCGGACGAGGCATCAATTATAAAGCAATAAATCATACGTACGAGGTCCAACAGGGCGACAATTGAAAAAGCTCACCCCAACTCTGCTCTTTGCAGTCAAAGGCGGCAACACTTTGGGTAATCACCTGAACTCCTTACTGAGGGATGCTGAAAATCGCATTCAAGAACTGGGCAGTGCTGAAGAAATCCCCCAGACGCCATATAGCACAAGGGCGTCTTTCTCCAGTATTATAGGTGAGCATTGTGAGGCTTTGGTGGAAATTACAGCAAAACACGAGGAGTTCTGAGTTGGAAAAGTATGGAAGTTTCATAACTTTTCTGGGAAGACCAAAAAGTGCTTTCTATCACTGAAAGAGGAAAAGTTTTTCTGGCTTTTGTAATCACAATTAATTTGCTTCAAATCAATAGTTCGCTATTGTCGTTGCTAAAATCGAGTGTTTGGAAGTTTTTGGCTTGGAAAAGTGCTAAAATTAATATCTTCTTTTCCAGGAAATGCCTACACTGGACCCTCTGTCACTGGGTGCACTGGAACGGAGACGGATAAGCAAATTGGCCTGTGGGAGCGTCGCGTGAAAGGTTTGCGACGAATGCTGCTGGGATGGGATCAGGCTCGTCCGCCGGATCCACCAAATTCCGTCCTCGTGGACGTCGTTGGACCATCATCAGTGTCCATTCGCATCTACGAGCCCGTAGAAGGGCCCTTAGGCACAAAATTTAAAGGTGAGTCACTGATCATCCCTCTCGTGCCGTCCCCAAGTTAAGCAGAGTGGAAGAGATATATAATGTCCTTGTGCGTCACCAAATATAACTCCTTCTCCCCCATTCAAGGGCAATTCAAATATTTTTAGTTCTGCGACCAGGTGTACGGAAACATAACATTTCAATTGACCAATTTCGTCGTACTGTGGCTTCATATTCATGTTCATCAACAGGGGATGACCGGGACTGTGGTTGCTCTGTTTATTTAACATGCTGTTGTAGAATGTTGCGACATATTTCAAATATTCATCAGGCAAAATGACTGGTGTAAATACGGTCGGCAGACATACTCAATTACACGACGGCCACAGAAACCGTACGTAACATGGATGAATGGATGACGAACGGGGGAGTATTTGAACCCAATAAGTGGCCCCATTCTGTGGAGACTTTAGTCAATAGACGGAAGGCTTACATATTCCAAAATTGGGCATGATATTGTCTCTGTGGCAGGTGTATTAATAAAAAAAGAATAGATTTTTCTCCACAATCACTCATAATCCATCAAATACGTAGTAATTGAATGTTGTCCAATTGACATGTCGAAGGATCTAGCTTTAATGTAAATAGGACGCCTTACAGCACAATATGTCCGATTGGGAGTCTTCATTGCAAGCTTGTCATGTATTTATTGAGGGTGTCAGTGTCGGTCTAAATGGGATCTATTAGAAAGGTGTCCCATCTAATTATTCCCCTATGGAAGTCATTTGGTTGATGGACACAACTAAAAATGTCCCCCATGAAGAGGAAGTGTGGGCGAATTGATGATGTGGCTGATGAGGAATCCCGTGAGATCGTCATGAAGACGTGTGTGAGCACAAAGTTTCTCATTTGTCAAATCCCAGGGTGAAAATTGATTTTATCGCTGACCACAACTTCCTCCATCTCATCTTTTTGCAGTTCAATGGTCATCCAGGGCGGACTTTAGCAACATCGTGGGCGAGTGCGACATCAGTGAGTGGAATAGCTTCCAGGGCACGATGGGGGCCACATGTCGCATTGGAGATCTCACGCAGGGCCGCCGCTACTTCTTCAGGGCATGCCTGGGGAATGTCAAGGGATTCGGCCACTATCGCACTTCTTGTCCCTCGAGTGTTGTGCCATCGAGCTGGTATGACGTGGAGCAGCGTGAAAATCGCTTTGTGGGACGTCAGAGAGTGCTAGATGAGTTGTTCGCAGCTGTGCGTCTGGCACGTCCGGAGGATGCCAGCAATATTCCTCTGGAGACTCCGGCGCTTCAGCGGAGGAATCCAAAGAAGAAGACCACCATCAAGCAACTCTTCTCGGCGGCCAGTAAATTTCAGAAGAACTTGCGAAGGTGAGAAACCCCCAAGCGAAAGAGCAAATTGATAAAGTTGAAAATTCCCATGAATTTCCACGCAATGTGACAGTAATTTGAAAGGGAGAGAGAGAGAGAGAGTTGGAAAATCAATTTAATATTTTATGTGTCATGCATGAGAAGCTCCCCATATCATAAATATTCAGACAGAAGAAGAAGTAATGTAAAAGTGAGGAAAAATGTGATTGAGCGCAAGCTTTTCTCCTAAGATGTGAAAGAAGTCTATCTACCTTACACATTCCCCTCGGATGGAGGGAATTTCTTTGAGAAAACACAATGGAATGTCTTCTTTTCACCATCAAGTGTGCGTGCCACACGTAAATCAAATTTATTGAACCTTCCGGAGGGTGGGAGATTGAAAGCTCGAGGAAGAAGACGATAAGTTATCAGGGGTGAAATTATGGAGCACCGGAATGACCCTCAATCGACAACAATTAATTAATAAATTGTTGACAACCTTCCCAACGATCTCAATTTGAGATTGAGTTGAGGTAAAGGGCATGGCTATGGGTGGGAAAAACTTTTATTGCCAGAGAGAATTCTTTGCGACGCGGAAGAGGAGATTTGTTGTCGTTCTGCAGAACGACACGTGGCAAATTATATGGGATTTCATAGGAAATTATCACAATTTCTCCTGCCATTTTCTATCACACAAACAAACAATCTTCGTCAATCGAATGAATATTGGAAGATAAGAGGGTGGGAAGGATGAGGCTTTCGATGAATGGCTTACGTCATTCTCTTCGCTCACGTGAAGTACATGGAGTGTTATGTATTTTAGAGTCATTCGCCCCAGGTCAAACTATAGGAGAACGCAGTCTTGATCTGAGGCTTCCCATAGATTGTCTCCAATTTTTTTTTGATTCCTCAGAAATCTATTCATGTATTAAGAATCCCAACGGTCACATCTTACATAACTTCTAAAATGGATATACTATATAATTTTTCGTGGAGAAGCAAAGAAACTATTGAATTTGCTATCCATGCTAACCAACTGTCCCATAAGAAAATGTTCAATCTTGATCGCCATGAAAGGAGAGCAAATCCTCGTGCTCAAGTGGCCAAAAACCTATGCTCTATTCGAAGGGAAATCGATTGGGAAGGAGGGAATCTCATGTGATTCTACCTGAGGATTAAGCGAAGTGGAAAAATAACACGTGCTACAATTTACCTAATTCCACCAATCAATATCCTCCTCCTACATCATAATCGTTCCCTGTCTGCTTTCAGAGGAATCTACTTGGCTTGCATTCTCTACCACGAGGACAAAGTGCTTGTGACAAATGAAGATTTTATCCCTGTAATCGAAATTGATGAGACATACCCAGGATGCCTGCACACGGATTATCACTGGCTGATGAAGGTGAGTGAACTACCAACGTAAAACTCCCTAATTTCCATGCGGAATTGCACCCCGGAGGGTGGAAGCAATTTTGGTGTCCATATGCGGGATAGGTTAACTGGTGAATTGAGGGAGTGCTAAAGAGGATTAAAGGCCGGAAAGTGCGACTGGTGTTTTGCTTAATTGGAAATTTACCTGTAATCACTGTCGTCTTTTGCAGGTGGCCTGCACGTGGGACGATGTGAAATCCCTGCGGACAGATATGGAGCGAAATGCCACCTCAGCGGTGCATTTTCGCACGAAACTCCTCACGGCTGCCTGCCAAATGCAATCAGCGCTGTGCATCACTGATTTGGGGCAGCTCTTCCACAAACCCCTACGAGACTCTCACGGGACTGTTGTCCTCAGCTGTGTTAATTTCATCAAGGTGAATTACTCTGCACATGCCATCAACCCCCGCAACATTGTCCAATTAATTCTTTTCGACCCGCAGAGTCCAAAAACAATCTCGGTGCTCAATTCACGCTGGATTCCCCTTAACAAAGTGCACAAGAAGCTCTCGGCATTGCATGAAGACAACAACATCAACGAGATTCTAATGAACTCCATCCAGGAGCAAATCAACTACCATCAGGCGTCCGCTGTGCGACTGACCAAAGGACTATATTTGGGCTACTTGAAAATGCAGAGCTCGGTGGATCAGATTCAAGTGGTAGTGCCGTCAAAGACGCCGAATGTACTGCCGCACTGCAAAATTCGGGATAATCCCCACATATCAGCGTAAGTGTGACTCTTTTCTCTGGCCACAAAATCCCCCGCCAAATCCCCTAAGCTTGCATGTTGTTAGCGGTGGATTTTTGTGCAATGCATTCCACCTAAATGGACGACGTTATTCCCCAGAACACGTTCAGTGAGGGATTTTCTGCGATTAAGGTACACAAAAATGCTATAAAAAGCAACAAAGTATGCCAAAATTGGATTTCATTCTATGCTCTTTAATGCAATGGAAAGGGGAGAATCGTCCTCAGCGAAAGCATCGAAATTTATACTCTTCCCTAGTTCACAAAGATTCCCTTCAGCAGTACCTAAGTTTTGTAAATACTGTTAGTGGAGAATCTGTAAAGTCGAGTCGCCTCGTTATGGTTACCACGAATACCCTATTAATTAACAAATTATTTTGAAATACAGACTCTGTTAATTGAAAAGCGACCCACTCCTACCGAATGCCGGGTGCGTTATTTAGGAACTTTTGCACCCCGTGTGCTAAAAATGAAATAAAACAACGCTCTGGTGCCCTGGCGATAGCATTCAAAAGAGGGAAAACTCTGGCAAAAGCCCTGCCATTAATGAAATTTTAATAATTGAGCAATGGATATGGGGGTGAATTTAATTTCATTGCAATTGTTAATTTGTACAGGGAGGAGTGGGAGTTCCTCAAAGGTCGCAAGTCCACGATAATGTTTGGGCCGCAGAATGAGCAGCCGACGGAGGTTCAGCAGCTCTTCCTGGAAGACCTGACAATAGCCGCCCACCGACTATTCAAATATATGGACACCCCCGCGGATGACGCACTGAAGCACCGACTGTACGACATTGAGGTAATTGAGTTGAGTCCTGATGTGAGCTTCCTGGCCATTTGTCCACCGCCAGAGTTCTCGTGCGCCGTTCCTGGTCAAAGAGAGATTCTTCTGCAGCGCGGCGATTTGCTGAGTTTGCCTCTGCAGGCTTTTGAAATGATCCACTTGCGAACCTATCAGAATGGCATTATTCAGAAGTACTCTCGCTTGTCGTGCATTCTTGAGCTGGACACTGTGCTAGCCAATCACTCCCATCGCGAGGCGTTCTCTACGGTGGAAGTTCAGGCAGCGAAAGAGAGATTGTGCAAGCTCCAGGAACTCTCCACGAGTCTCAATGCCGTGTGGAAGGGTGTTCGTTGGCTCATGGACGTGATAAGCTTCGCACGAGACAGAGCTTGCATGCCCGCTCTGGCAATGCGTGACATTCTCGAGTGCCAAGAAGCAAGAGATTCCCAAGTGGATGAAACGAAGCGACAGCTTCTGCAGCCTCCGCCACGAGATGCTAAGTTGATGAAGAGCTCCCCTGGCAGGGGATCCTGGCCAGGTCCGGCTGTGTCCGGTGGCAATGGTCTCCTCGTGGCGGAGCACTCCAAGTCCGAGCAGCACCTAAGCGTGGCAGGAGCCAGTTCTAATCTGAGCTCTCGCTATTTGAGTGCCACATCAGAGTTCGATCCCTCTTCGCGGAAGAACAGCGCCGATTCAAACTATTCCCACTCCGGCCACAGCTATTACTCCGTCGGGTGCGAGGGTGGCCACGTGGGAACGCGTCTGCCGCCCTCTCGGTCAGAAGACACTCTGACCGTGTCGAAGAAGCAGCCACACCGGAAACGAACGACGACAGTCAACACGAGCTTCTCAGCGGCTTCCAGTCCCTTGCTTAACATCCGACCTACGTACACTGGCACCACGGAGTCCGTTCACAGTCTATCTAGCGACAGCGAGAGCGCCAGCTACCCAGTTCTCACGTCCACTCCACAGAAGACCCGCCCACACGCTTCCAGCATGACGAACGTGAAGGACGAGGAGGCGCCTGTTGGAGTTGTGAGGAGTCGGAAGCAGATGTTTGAGACACTGCATATCACCGAGGATTCCCAGTGCGCTGAGCAGCCCTTTTTCTTGGCTCCGGGTCCGTCCGCTGGCCCCGCGACTCGGAGCGAAAACCGCAGACAAGCTCTCGAGTCTGCGCCAGCAGGACACCAGCAGTCTTCTGCAGCGAATCCGGGCACTCACGAGAAAGTCCCAGCGAGGAGTGGGGAATCGAGTGCACAAGACGCGGAGGCTGAGAATGTGAGCAAGGATGCGGGAATCATTCAAGTGTATGCCGCATACGAAACAGGTTTGGCCAGTGGCACGAGTCTTAAGCTCCACGTGACGACCAAGACCACGGCCAAGGAGGTGGTGGATCTCGTGGTGAAGCAACTGAACATGGCTGTAGTGCTCAAGGGGCGCGACGGACCGATTTACACGGCTGACAAATTGGAGAACTTCTGTCTGGTGGCGGTGATTGGAGCCCGCGAGCGGTGCTTGAGAGATGACTTCAAGCCGCTCCAGCTGCAAAATCCGTGGAAGAAGGGCCGCTTGTACGTGAGACAGAAGCAAGATCTTCTCGCTGCCATCGAGCACTCCAATCGTGAGGCTCAGATGATATAGAAAGCAATTCTCCCTTTGGCAAGGTAAGAACCCTTAATCCCCGTTGAAGTCCTGATCGCAAATTGAACTTACTATAGAGAAAGACTAAGTCCGAATTGATCTTATGAGCATAGAAAATCACAAAGCGCAGGCGTATAACTGTTATTGCTGTTGTTCAACAATAAATTAATAACAAATTTAGATGAAAATATAATATACTAATCGAGAGACAGGGTGTGAAATTAGGGCAATTAGAGGCACATTCACAATTTCTCCCATCATATTTTCACGGTTGACGGAAATGTTAATGAGGAAAGAATTCAATGCTGAATTCTAGGAATGTCTATAATATGGAGAAATAGCAGGAGATATACGAAGAAATGAGACGTTATAGGATTATTTTCTGATGAAAAGTCTTATGATTAAATTTGTTTTTATAATATAAGTCTAGAAGAAAATGTATCTTAGAGTAATTTCCCTCTCCTATAGATTTTTAATTTTTTTTTAGATGAGGGACGAATATTTTTGAGTAAAAAACGAATTGTTAAAAGTGTGCGAAAGAAGGTTTCGGGATGAATTGAGTGATTGCTTAGGAAATTTCCTCTTAATGACAAGATAGAAAGGTGTAATACAAATACCCCGTAAATGTCCAATAAACCCGTGGGTTGTAGGCATATAAAAAGTGGGAAAAGAAAGAATGTAAAATCCGTGAAATTCCCGTTGTATTGTTCCCTGTAATTGTATTAATCGCTGTGGTCCAATTTTATCCTCCCCTGAAAAGTGTTGCACGGTGGAAAGAACTCTGTGTACACAAAATGTAAATCCCAATCAATTAAAATTTTCCACTGTATTGAATAAATATAATCAAAATACACAAATAAAACTTTACAAGGATGCTCCATGCCACATTCATTTCATGCAAATCCGAATTGCTTTTTTGTCATTTGGTGAATATTCATCACGCAATTTCATGCCTACACAAAAATCACAATTTCATTTATAAAATCAAATGGCAATTGCAATTTTTCATGCAGATTTCGATGAATTGTTAATAATATAATAGATGTCTTGAGAAGATTTAACAATTTTAAGTAGTGTAAAATGTGAAAGGAATTTTAAAACTAAATATACATACATGAGAAAAATTAAAAGCTTTACTTGTTGAGAGATTGTGTCATAATTTTCAATGTCAATTTTCGAAAGAATGGAATAATGTTGAAAGCTAATATATTGGATGAACATTTCAAGATGACAACTTTAATTTTTCTACACAAAATGAGATAGAGAAATATTTTTTAGAGTGCGCGAATGCTGAGAGAGAAAGCCAATTGTTAGATACTAAATGTTTTACAGAGATACTATATTCTGAATATATTACAGAAAGAATTATTTTCAACGCACTAAATTAATAATATATTTTAAGTAAAGCTGAGTGAATAAAGATCTTTTAATAAGATTATTGACATATATACATACATATACATATATAGTGAAATTGAAGAAAAAAAAAATAAATGAATGTAAAATTAAAGAAAATATAGCAAATGAGAAAAAATATATAAGAAATCCTTAGAGCAAATGAAGACAGTGGATTGAGGCGGATTATGAATAAATGTTACTATGAATAAAGAGAATAAATTGAAATTCCCATAAATATCGTGTTCCTTTCTTTAGTGGCGCGAAGGTGAGAAAACGGGCGGATTTCCAATTAGGAAGTTTCGCTGGAATCAGCGAGTTTCAGCCTCACGTTGCGATAATTATTCCCGATAAGGATCAACCAAGATGGGCAGGAGAAATTTTATATGATATGTAAGACAATACAGCAGAGGTGTTGAGAGAAAGTTCCTCTTGAGAAAGTACATCCCATTAAGGAGCAATATATCCTTGTTTTCCTTCAAACTCCACCAGAATCAATTCCCGTCGTTGTTAAGGAAACTTTCGCCTCCACGGTGGGCAAGTGATAAAGTAGAGATGCTGACTAGAGGATGTATCGGGGAGACAATTAAATTGAGGCCAGGTGGACAGAGTATGACAACGATCTTCCCTTGATACCTTCAGTCACTTTTACGATATCACATAAAAAAAATCTTCCTCACACTTTTCCTCATTTCTTGGCACGAGATTCAACTTTACTGCTCTCTCGTCACCCACACGGTCTTTTATCACACGATAAAAATCATTGGGTAAGTGACTGAGTGGATTCTAGAACACACCACACAATATTTACCACTTAAGAATAATATGCCAGAGAGATTTTGTCTTAAATTCTTACAATAATTTAACATATGATTTTACAGCTCTTCTTTATATATGTATGTTTCAAATGTACGCTATATGAAATTTATATACGAGAGATGCAGAAGGTAGTGTATAAATTTGTGTTTGATGCAATTTAAATACCTCACAAATCTCTAAAGCTTGTTGGAAAACCACTCGTCATGCACTACATATCGCGCTTCATTTTCTATTTACTCAAATAAACTTGAATGCATCTGTGCAGTAAAGCTTTAAAATACAAAATACTCATTATTCGACAGCGTTTCCTGCTTTCTGCAAATGCAGCTCTCCAAATAACCCATTAACTACTTGTGCGTATTTAGGGTACAAATGCGTAAAGGAAATGTTTTGTGCTACAAACATGAAAAGCAGTTGCGATCGAGCTTTTGCGCCAAATATATATAATGGACATCTCGCATTCGGTAAAAGCCAACGCGCGCAATGAATAGTTCCATGTCTGGGTTAGTGCTTATTCTCTATTTTGTGAAAATACCCGCATCACGTGTGTTACTCTCCTGCTTACTCTCTTACCGTCATTTTGTAAATCAACAGGATTACACGGCGTTCAGGTGTAGCAGGAAAAGAGGTATTGAAAGTGGAAATACGATCTCTCAGTGGAAAAGTTCTCATCGCTCGTTACTCTAGAATCCTCTACATCTATAATATTAAATTCACAATTCAGTTAAGGATTTTTCTAGCATATATGGATTTTCAGTAAATTTATTCAGGGTAATTGGCATAGCTGTGTATATTTATGCTTCTTGGGGTCCTTATTTTTCTCTGTGCCAACAATCTCCCGTGCGCTGTTACTGGAGAAAATGCAATTTGCATCATGAAAAGTCGTCTGGCAAATGCATGTGATATATAATCAAAATTTACATAACAATAACATCCCAGCGATAGTGAGGGTGTTGTGGACCAAGATGTGAATATCAGAATAGCTCATTTCTCAGGCCATATTTTGATACTTTGCCAAATAAATATTGCAACACACTCTTGCCGTTGGCAATTGGGACAAACAACTAAATATTATTTGTTTGTCTATCCCCAGAGCTTCTGAGTGTGAGATACGGCGCATACACATGGTATATTAGGGGCAAAATATTGTGCAATAGTGCACTCAACAGAGACAATGGGAAACCCAAGGGTGGAGCTTGAATTAATTAACTTAACTATAATAGGAAGCTCAAGTAAGTGCGAAATTCATGTTCTCACGCTGAATATTCCGATCCTTTGCGCTCGACATCGTCAAGAGGATGGTAATTTGCATGAGAAGAGGTCAATTGCACAGAGTTTGTGCAGATCGACACACATGAGAATTGGAAAATAGAAACATTCCAATGAATTTCCATTGACAGAAAATCATTGTGACTCGAATTCTATCACGCAGTACATCAATATGTATCAAAAGGAATCGTTTAGAGGAGAATAAAAATCGATAACAGCGCTCGTGCTTGCGTGAAGAGTGATAATAATTTTGAGTAACACGTGTGGAGATGCTGAAGAAAAGACAGGAAAAATTCCGCTTCATCCACCGAATGAAGGAGAGCATCTTACATCCTCTAGCCACAAGATTACATGACAAAACCTCTCTAAAGAATTACCCCAGACTCGAGAGAAAATCATACTCGTTTTACCTTTTTTCCCAACCACCCGAAACTTCCTCCCCTTTCGCAAGTTTCGCCTTTTTGTCCATTGAATAAACCCTTATGAGAGTGGGGTTTAGTAAATTGTGGTTGATGTGGGTGGCATTAAAGGGCACTTCCCGAGGAAGTCTGGGTGGGATCAATGATGATTGCTGAATTAACCACAATATTCCACAAACATGACCGAAATCATATCCACAATAGCGCCATTCAGTTCAAATGCAATTACAAAAGCTTTGTATTATTATGCAAATACTTGAATCTCCCTCTCAAAGAAGACGAAATACATTTTAACAAATTCTCAAGGGTATTCTGAAATTAATTTCAATTAAAACTGACGACCGCCTTCGCGGACGCCAGATTAAATTAGCGCGTGAAATTTAAATTCACCACCACACAGTTTTGTTTGTAATGAAAAAGAATGGCTGTTAAAGTTTCTAAAAGCATATCCTTCTTAGACTCTTGCCGGCGACTGTCTTTAAGATCTTTCACGCAAGGGCACAGTATACCTTCTGGGATTGTTTTTGGCGAACAACTTTCCAAAGGGTTGTGTCCCATTTTCCTCTTCTACACACATTGTCAATAAAATTTGTTGTCCGCTCCGCAATACAATGGCAATTGAATGGAGAGAATAGAGTTAAGCTTGCTTCTCCATCCGAGGAATGGTGAATTGATGTTGAAATCAATCCTCAGGGGTGATTGCCTTCGTTCCTTTCATCGCACTGCACGAAAGTCCAGTGGAAAAGTTTCAACTAACGCATCAAGGATGAGAAATGAACTTTTTCCACTGGAAATTCTTCACTCTCCATCCGAAAATCCTCCTTCATTCATGAGATATACGTGCTCAACATGAAAATATGGATGAAATCATGTGTGGATGTGTGAAGAAATGGACAAAAATATTTCATGCAATATATTCCGCATTGAGCTCATGGATTTCATATTGGGGAAAATTTCTCCCCTGAGATCATCAGCAGCTGAAATATTTCAGAAATGACTAATAAATATCGGGCAAATCTCTCTCATATCCCATTTACTCTCACTTTGTCTGACAGCGGCCGGGCAGTGATGGGAAGGACTACCTCAATCACTTTGTGTGAATTTCCAGTGACTAAACATTGTGTGAAGCCAAAATTCACACCTCTGAAACACAACTGTTCCCAGTTGCTTCTGCCTCGTGAGTGATGTGATGGACGTGAGTTGATCGGAGAAATTCTGTGCTATCAAAATACGATTGATGTCATCACCAGATCCTGCAAAGTAACCCATATGGAAGAGTCAATCAAACACCAGCCGGAAAGCTGCATTTAGCACATTTGCCCTAGGAACTTCACACGAAATGCAGGTAATTAATACTGAATCAAGTACTGACATACATATGTGACCTATATTTTCTCACAGAACACATTTTGAAGTGCATAAAAGTTACATGTAGTTTCATTCTATATTTAAAGTAATGAAATTATCGATGAAATCCAATTATAATAATCAGAAGTTCTTACTCAAAGATTGAAAATGCTTTAAAGGAATTAATTTCAAAGGAAATAGAATACTTCATGTTATTATAATATAAATGAGTGCCACAATTTCCGTAAAATTTCCATAAAATATATATGCATAAAGACATTTTACTGACATTTCCACGAGACGGAGAAAGGCTAAAGGAAATTGTGCTGAAGAAACTCAATCTTTTAAAAATCATTCATCGTGATTTCTCCATCTCTCAAAGTGAAAAAATGAAACTGTGAAGCGTAAAAGATATTTGTGAAGAGTGCAATGGAAATAGTAAATTGCATTTGTATAGAATGTCAGGACATTCGAGATTCCTTCACTCACTCTGAAGCGATTTATGAATTTTCCTTTATGTGCCTCACATATTTGTATTTGACAAACATTTTATTCACCTTTTAGTGCTCCTTCCCCATTCTTAAGGACTTTTCCACACACAGAACCAACACACACGCTAGAAAATCTCCCCCATAAACACAGAAGAATTGCACAAATAGAAAAAAAAAAAAAATTCTTCAGTCCCAAAACCGCCTAAAAATTCATCGAATTTAATTTTTTCAGCATCAAGGAAAATAGGTCTCAAATATTTGTCTCACTGAATTTCACATATTTATGCCTCTCAGGCAATAATTCCCTCCCTCACGTTCTCTCTGGGATTTCTTCCTTTTTCTCAAATGTAGTGTGTGCGTAATATTTTTTACTGCTCTCTGGCATTTTATCGAGTTTTCAAAGTAAAGGTGAAGTCTTCAGCATTTATGCCCACTTAGAAATCTCCGCAGAACATCCGTATGCAAATAAAAGTCAAAATAATTAACTTAATGTAAAATTCCGTGGAAAATATTGCAGATAAATAAGAGACATCATGATATATTAAACCGCAATAAAGTTTTCTAAGACTCAAGGAAAAAGGAGAAGCGAAATGTATTTCTCTTCTGTATAAGTTTTGACAATATTGTATGTTTGACACCTTCATCAATTCTCAAAGTGTACGAGGAAGAAGAAGAGTTTTCAAAGTGCAATAAATATAAGAGTGTGTCAAGATATCAATAATAATGACATTACACAAGTGAAAATGCTCCCCAATCGATACACACATCACTTGCTCGCAATAGACATGTTGTGTGGAGTATTTGGTGAAAAGGAGGGAAATGGGAAAATTGATTGTGGCACGCGAGTGCATTTTCCAAAGCGGAATAATCTCTCGACAACCCTTATATATTGC